TAGCCTTGACTAGACGGACCTTTGTTGACAAAGTAATGTCTCTGCTTTTTAATATGCTGTCTAGGTTGGTCATAACTTTCCTTCCAAGGAGCAAGTGTCTTTTAATTTCGTGGCTGCAGTCACCATCTGCAGTGATTTTGGAGCCCAGAAAAATAAAGTCAGCCACAGTTTCCCCATGTATTTACCATGAAGTGATGGGACCGGATGCCATGATCTTAGTTTTCTGAATGTTGAGCTTAAAGCCAACTTTTTCACTCTCCTTTTTCACTTTCATCAAGAGGCTCTTTAGTTCTTCACCTTCTGCCACACTAAAATCATTAGGAGATAAAAAAGTGAATCATTAGAAGAGGCAGACACAAAATCTCTACCTAAGCCCCACCCTTGGAGCCACAGTATACAATCAGGAGGGAAGTCACCACTGCCAGTTTCTCCCTGAGAAACAAAGTGTTCCACATCTGGGAACCTCACTTTGAAGGCTTACAGCTGAGACATGGGCCTCCAAAACATACCTCTGAAAGTCAATGAAGTTTGTGTCCATGAAATCCATGAGGCTATAATGAACTAAGTAACAGGCTCACCCAGGCTCACTGTGCCTATCTCTCCAGGGCACAGCACACAGACACAGACGGAAACCTACAGCTTGTCCCTGAAAGAAATCTATTTCCTTATCTTTTAAAGCTAAGACTTCTAACACATATCTAGGGGTCAACTGCAATCCTCACCAAACACCTGAGAAGCCAACAGGTGCCATCATCATGCTCTCCCTCTGTCCCACCCCAGGTCACCAGTGTCTCTGTGAAAAGAATTTGTGCACCTGTATGGCCTCCCAGGTGATGTGGCTGCTGCCAGAGGGCACACTCCTTGATCACCTGGTTCAGTGACTTGCGTTTCTGGGTCCAACAGGACAGTAGCGAAAAAGAAACAGCCTGTAACTGGCTACCTGCGCCCGCCCACCCAGGGCTCAATGTGGAGGGAACAGACAGAAACACCCATCTCCCAGTCTTCTCCTGAAAGAGGAATAATTGCATATTTGAAAAGTTATTGCCTCAAGTTCTGGTAGATTGCCTACGACGGCAACAATTACCTTGCTCTGAATGAGGACCTGAGCTTCTGGACCACAGGGGATGCAGCAGCTCATATCTCCAGCCTCAAGTTTGCGCAGGGAGGTGCTGCGGGTCACAGTAGGAACGACCTGGAGGGGGACTGCGGAGAGTGGCTCCACAGACACCTGGAGAACGGGAAGGACACTCTGCTGCGCGCAGGTATGAGGGGCGTGGGGCCTCCCTGATCCCCTCTCGCGCTGGACCTGGCTTCCCATGAGGAGAAGAAAGTGAGGTCAGTGTGGAAACAGCACCCCAGTTCCTGTCGGGAGAGGGAGAAATCCACCCAGGTTTTCATATTCTGTACAAGAGAGTGACTCGCCAGTGGCCCCACTTCTCTGAAGGACAATTAAGGAATCCAGTCTCTTTGGGGAAGAAGCAGGAACCCAGCCCTGAAATAACTGGTCAGCGCTGCCCTTTCACCCTGGGTGCCATCTTGTGAACCATGACTGTCTCTCAGGGCCAGGTCTCACCTGAGAACATGTTTGGAGGCCTGACTCCAGCTTTTCTGAGTCATTCGGCCTCCACCCAAGTCAGGACCATTACTCTGTATTCTCTCCCTTACATGGTGCCTCCTACCTTGACTCTCACCCTGACTCCAGAACTTTCCAAGGACTTGGGAACATGCCCAGACCTCCGAGTCCAGGCTGGTGTCTGGTGTTTGTGCTGCTTCTTTTCAAATGCACTGTCCTGTTTATTCTCAGGATGATCATAGGATGCTGCTTCAGGGACCCATGGAGGTTAACACTAAATGGGAATTTTCTGATTCATCCTCCACAGACCCTCCAAAGACATATGTGACCCATCACCCCATCTCTGACCATGAGGTCCCCCTGAGGTGCTGGGCCCTGGGCTTCTACCCTGAGGAGATTTCACTGACCTGGCAGCATGACATGGAGGACCAGACCCAGGACATGGAGCTTGTAGAGCCCGGGCCTTCAGGGAATGGAACCTTCCAGAAATGGGCGGCCCTAATAGTTCCTTCTGGAGAGGAGCAGAGATACAGGTGCCATGTGCAGCACAAGGGGCTTCAGGAGACCCTCACGCTGAGATGGGGTAAGGAGGAGGCTGGGGTGGAACTTCTTCTCAGATAAAGCTGGAGCCTTTCTGGACCCCTTCGGCAAGGTCAACTCAAACCTGAGGTCTGGGCCCCTTCTCTTTCCTCCACAGTACCTCCTCGGCCCTCTGTCCCCAACGTAGACATCATTGTTAGTCTGGGTCTACTCATGGTCATTGGAGTTTTGGTAACTGGAGAGTTGCACTTTAAAGAAAACTGAGTGCGGAAGAATTGATGCTTTGGAGCTGTGCTGTTGGAGGAGACTCTTAAGACTCCCTTGGCCTGCAAAGAGATCCAACCAGTCCAATAAAGGAAATCAGTACTGAATATTCATTGGAAGATCTGATGCTGAAGCTGAAACTCCAATACTTTGGCCACCTGATGCGAAGAACTAACTCATTGAAAAAGCCCTGATGNTGAAAAGACCCTGATGCTGGGAAAGATTGAAGGCAGGAGGAGAATGGGACGACAGAGGATGAGATGGTTGGATGGCATCACTGACTCAATAGACATGAATTTGAGTAAACTTCGGGAGTTGGCAATGGACAGGGAGGCCTGACGTGCTGCAGTCCCTGGGGTCGCAAAGAGTTGAACACGACTCAGCAGCTGAACTGAACTGAGCCAAATCTTTAACATTTGTTGTCTCAGGGCCTGTTGGGGGAAGAATTTTCTAATACACTTTCTGAAAGCCTATTAACAACTTCCACATCTTATAATTCCCTGAATCTCCTGGAGAATTGTCTGTCAGGTACATTATCCCCAGGGTTGATACTGGGAAACCCACATGGGGATAAGTAACTATTACTGGAGTTGAGGGAGACTGGGTTCCCAGAGGCTACAAAGAAGCTGTAAATTTCAATGTAAGGAAGTCCTTTGGTCACTCCAGTTCTCACAAAGCCAGACATACACTCCACAAGAATCATTCCATCTCTCATCCTTGTACATCTGGAGGCAAAGACAATATTCTCTCTCTTTTATTTTTCCCATTATGCTGGAGGCTGAGTTGGAAGCCAAAAGCTCTTCCCAGAAGACACTTGCATCCTGACATGAGCATCTGGTAAGTATGATGACCTTTACCTGCTCAAAGTTGTTAAGAAATGAGTCAAACTTGAAGATGAGCACTGTGTGACTCTCTTCCTTTTTTTCAAATCTACTTTTTTCTTCTCTCTCTGCAGGCAGGTTTCCTTTGTTATTCAGTCCACACAGCATGAAGTGGGCAATAGCTTAAATTCTAAATTTTCATGTCCTCTGCCCAAGAGCTAACCATGCTTCACCTGACCATCCCCCACCACCCTTCAAAGACCCCTGACTGAAAGAGCTGAGTCTTTGATGAAAGGATGGAGATAATCACAGCGGCCACTTTCTCTTGGAGATTTCTCTTTAAGTAGAAGAGAAAGATCTACACACTAGAGGTAGCTACTTTAAGGTAGAGAGACCCTCTACACTTTAAGTGCAAAATGGTGAAAGCCATTGGCATTTTGGGACCCGGAAAACTCAGGGCTGCACCAACATTAGTCACATTGGCAGCTCTGAAGCACTGGTGCCCGACATAGCATCATTTTTGTCAAAGCAGGCACTGGCAGAACAGTAGTGATGAGCAACTTAGATGAGAAGAGGAAGAAAATAGAGGGTTCTGTTCACCAGGGAGGGGTAACAGAGTTCATGTGAGAACTTCTGGAGACTCTAGATAGAAACGGTAGCAAATAATAAAAGCAGAGATTTCTTTTGTGCCAGCCAGATATAGAGCTGAGGCAAAGTGCAGAGAGAAGAAACCTCCCAAGAATGACTTTTAATAATTTTCTTCCTTCTGCTCTTGCAAAGCTCAGAGCCTGACTTCCCCTCCAGCTTTGCCCACTTGATATCCCGTGGTGAAATGCTTAAGTCCCCACAGATGTCAGAGAACACTTTTTCAGCAAACATTTCTGAATGGCCCCCTATGTGGCAAGAGCAATGCCAAGTGATATGATACAGCTCTAGCCTGTGTTTCCTGAAACTGTATCAGCCCATAGGCCCAAGAGTGATAATAAACAACAAGCTGTTGTTTTATCTACTCTTTTATTTACTATTTCAACCCCACCTAGGACTTCCCAGGTGGCTCAGTGTTAAAGAATCCACCTGCCAATGCAGGAGACACGGGTTCAGTTCCTGGGTCAGAAGATCGTCTGGAGAAGGAAATGGTGAACTCACTCCAGTATTCGTGCCTGGGAAATCCCATGGACAGGGGAGCCTGGTGGGTACAGTCCACAGGGTCACAAAAGAGTCAGACAGGACTTAGCGACTAAACAACAACAACAATCCCTGCAGTCTGGGCAAAATGAATTGTTTCTGGCAGTTCCCAGGAAGTTATTCCATGAGCTCTGTGTTCTCTGGAGTTTAAAGCACCTGTGCCTCTCTCCACTTTGCCTATCTCGGTGTAGAACACCTGTCTCTTCCCTTGAGTTTCATTACTCAATCACTGAAAAAATAGCCCAAGAGAGGCCCTCCAGTATCTTTAGCTTCTGCCACCAGACTCTCTAGCCCTTTGGCTAAGACACAAGACAGTGGGGCTGGGTGAAGAATCAGTAATAGAATCAGAGATGGTGTTGTCTGGCATCCTCTGGCATGCATCTCATTCTACCCCAAAATCAGTCTCTCTTCAGAGACAAATATAAGTCTACGTTTATAAAACTGGATTTCCATACACAAAGATAAATAGATTCAGTTCATGGGGTCGCCAAAGTATCTTACATCACAAAAGTGTCTTGAAACCAAAACAATAAATATATAAATGTTTATATTCAGAGATATTTGCATATACTATATCTACAAAGCATATATTTTATATATTATTACACATTGTATATATACTCTCAATGGCCATATAGCCTGGAATAAAAACCACTATGAAATAAACACTGAGGACACATATTTCTATCTGATATAAGAAAAGACTACCTAAGTGTTTAAGTATATTAATGTATTCATACATTACATGTTGATTCAACTGCATTCAACTGCACGCATTACATGTTGATTGTTTCCTGTATGTTAGGCACTATTCTACACATATAATGATTTTGTTTTAAAAAGACAAATTTCCTGATCTATAAATCTGTCATTTTACTGAGGCAGATTAGAAAATAAATAAGAATTTTCTTTTAAGAAACAAGAAAAATTCTTGATAGTAATGAGTGATCTGAAGATGAAAAGCAGGGCAATACAATAGACAGTATCTTGAGGGGAGTATTAGTTGGGGTGGTCAGAGAATTTCAAAATGAGAAAAACCAGATAGACATGAACGTTCGGGTATAATATGTCGAGAAATTCTAAGGATGAGAGGGTTTCCCTGGTGGCTCAGTGAATAAGAATCCACCTGTCAATGAAGAAGACATGGGTTCGATTGTGATCTGGGAAGATCCCACACGCCTCAGAGCAATGAAGCTCGTGCACCATAATTATTGAGTCTGTGCTCCAGAGCCCAGGAACCACAACTATTGAGCCATGCATCGCAACTAATGAAGATTGCATGCCCCAGATGCCGTGCTCCACAAAAAGAGAAACCTGTGCACCGCAACTAGAGAAAGCCCCCACACATCAATGAAGACCCAGCACAGTCAAAAATAAATGAAGTGTATGGCTGAGTAATATTTCATGGTGTATATGTACCACAGCTTCCTTATCCATTCGTCTGCTGATGGGCATCTAGGTTGCTTCCATGTCCTGGCTATTATAAACAGGACTGCGATGAACACTGGGGTGCACGTCTCTCTTTCAGATCTGGTTTCCTCGGTATGTGTGCCCAGAAGTGGGATTGCTGGGTCATATGGCAGTTCTATTTCCAGTATTCACGCCAATATATGACAAAAACCACTACAATATTGTAAAGTAATTAGCTTCCAACTAATAAAAATAAATGAAATAAATAAATGAAGTGAATAAATTTTTTTAAAAAATTCTAAAGATGGGAAATTGAGCATAGCAAGAGAAAATACTAGAGAGGTAAGAAAAGGATTATGAAGGCTCTTGTATGCCATAGTGAGGAATTTGAAATTTGAGTTGAAGGCAATTGAAAACCACTGGAAGTTTTCAAGAAGGAAAGTGAGGCAATTCTTTTAGGGAGGATAATTCTTTTTGCAATATGCAAGAAGGCTATAACTCCTAAATTCAGTTTCTAAAACCCTTACAGTTTTGAAACTTCTTCCATATTATCAATTCTTTGACAAAATTATTTTGTGAATCTACTATACATATTAAACTCTTCCAGGCTATACATATTAGTATACATACTAATATGTATTAGTATACATATTAATACTCTTCCAGGTATTATTTTGAGATATTTCTCCTCTTAGAGATTATTTACTATTAAATTTGCCTCATAGTTTGTGTGTGGTGTGTGTGTCTATGAAAGACAGAGACATACAGACAGAAGTTGATTTCTAAAATGAGACCAGATGATTTTATGAAAAAGAGAATGATTAATGTGAGGTCTGAATTTATAGGAAGTGCACATGAAAGGTTGAAAAAGAGTATTTGCTCTATCATATTAAGCAATTTTAAAAGACATAAAGAAAGAAAACAAAAACTCATTGATGCTTTGCTGAGTTTTCACTGAAAGTGGTAACAATGAGAGTTTCTCAGGTTTAGTCCCTCTGGAACATACAGTATGGATACAGTGAATTCTAAATCACTTCCAATAAAAGTTTTCCAATCAATAGAAATGATTACAGACTCCATATCAAAGGCTCCATGACTTGACTTATTAAAATATATTGCTCCCATTTGAACAAAATTGTTAATAGTAAATTTTATTATCTGTGCATCTTCAGAAAGAAATATTTTTCTCTACACAAAGCAGAAGCAAGAAAGCCAGTCTAAGTATTTCAATCGTTCAGGGAAAGAATAAGGCAATCCATATTTGTAACTTATTTCGAACATCTAGATTTAATTTTTGAGAAACTTTTGAGTTATATTTGTAGTTCGTACATCATAAAGACAGTATCCCCAGCAGTTAAGAACTCATATTTTAGTCTGTTGGAATCCTGCCTCTGTGATTTATTAAGTACATCACCCTGAAAAAATCGCTGCACCTCTTTAACCTTCAGTTCCTTCACATATTCAGCAGAAATCATGATAATGCCGAGCTCACAGAGTTGTTGTGACAAATTGTATAGAAAGTGCTTAGGTGCATGAGCGGTGCTGCTCCGAGCCCGCCAGCCACGGTCTCCGGCGCCAGCTACG